GAATGCCTTTGTAGCTCTGCCAAAATGGAAATTTCCCCTAAGCTAGAAGGGACTTTAGAGCCCACCTGGTCCTCATTTTACAAAGAGGGAAACTGAGGCCCTGAGAGGGGAAGTGACTTGCCCCAAGTGACAGTGAGGTAGGAACCCTCCCACTTGTTCGGGTCTCATGCCCCCTACTTTATAGCAATGTGTTATAGCGGAAAGAGAGCTAGCCTCTGGAGCCTGGATAGATTTGGGCTGAAATCCAACCTGACACCTGCCAGCTTTGTGGCCGTGGACAAAGGCCACAACCTCTCTTGGCCTTGGTCTCCTTAGCTATAAAATGTATGTGGGTAATGTGCCCTGAAGTGCGTGTTGTTGTGGGTGTGACGGGCTTAAGGTGCTACTGAAATGTTTGGTATTACTCTCATCACTATTGTTGATACTATTACTAGACATGGAGAGAGGTATGCACACACGCGCACTTGCGCACATGCACACCACAGACTGAAGGGCAGCGCTTGTCAGTCTGGCCCTTAGCAACACACCCCCTGCATCTCAATGTTGGGCCTCTCCTGGAGCCTCCCGAGGTCCAAACTGGGCCAGCGGGGCCGGGGTGTCCTCCCCACCCTCTCACCCAGCAGCCTATCCATGGCTTCCCAAGGCCGCCCTCCACATAGGGAGCGAGATCTCTCCAGCCTACGGAAAGCACCTTGGCAGCAGAATCCCTGCCCACTTTGGCCACCGCCCACTCCAGTCCATCCCGTAGTATCACTGTAGTATCATCCACCTACTCCAACCAGGGCCAAAGGCCTGGATGTGCTCTCTGCTCCCCTCGCTCCACCCCAAATCAGCAGTCGCTCCGTTACCTGTTGAGAATGGTGCAAACTCCTTCTCCCTCCATAATGTGGAAGGAAGCTCACTCTCCATACTCATTGCCTCCTCCTGGCCTTCATGCGATTTCTCTCCCTGCCAAACTGGACTCCTCTGTGCCCCCTCAAACAGGCCCGATGATGTCCCACATTCTTCCCCCTCCCTGGGATGGCCTCCTTTGCCCTCTGCCACCCTTCCTTAATGGCCGATGCCAACATCACCTCCAAGGAGGCTGGCCTGATCCTCCCTTGCCCTCCACCCCCACCCACGTTCAAGCGTCATACGGCATCTGCTGTCGTATCTCTCTAATACTCATATAGTGTCCCAATCAGCTGTTTATCTTGTCCTCTCAGCTACACTGCAGGGACCCACAAGTATAAGGACCAAGTCTGGCGTTGCCTAAACCTAGAGCACAGCTAGGTGGCACAGCAAGTAGGGCACCGGGCCTGGAAGACCAGAGTTCAAATCTGGCCTCAGACACTTACTAGCTGTGTGACCCTAGGCAAGTCACTACACCCTTGCTGGCCTCCATTTCCTCATCTGTAAAATGAGCTGGAGCAGGAAATGGCAGATGACTCCAAAACCCCAAATGGGGTCATGAAGAGTTGGACATGACTAGGCCACAACAAACTTTGTATCTGCACACAGCAGGCACCTGGTAAATGCATGAATTAGAATGAATGCTGCAAGCTTTGGGAATGACTTTTCTCAAGAATTTCTAGACTACGTCAAGGGTTCTCAAATGCTTTTCCTCTTCTCTAATTCTAAAACTGGCCCCACTGCAGGCCGACTGCCCCGGAGCTCCCGCTGCTAGCCACCTGGCTATCCCGGGGCTGAGGCCAGCTGCTGAAAAGGCCAACGTTGGCCCCTGGGCCTTCACACTTCCCTGTCTGCTTTGCTCTCTGTATATCAGGGGCCCAAGTAACAACCCAGAGAATGGCAGGAAACTGGGAGCAGGATGAGAGGAGAGGGAGACAAAGGTAAAGAGACAGAGACCCCCTTTGCAAAGCCGACCTAAGTGGCCTTGTTGGGAAAGAGGCTTCATACTCAGGACTGGCAGGAGATGCACAAACTTCCTGCAAGGCGATCACTCAATGACTAGCTTGATCTCTCCCTTTTAATACTTTATTCTGTAATATTGGCAAGCTCACATCGATGAGTGGGAAATTGGTCTCAGCTTTCTGGGGGCCACTGTGGTCCATCCTCTCAGGATTGCTGGGTCAGGACTGGGCACCAGGGGCCCTTCATGTCATGAGAGCATCGGACTCAAGGCGCTGCAGGGCGGTGCAGAGCTCTGACCCCTAAGTCATAGGACCTGGGTTCCAATCATGCCTCTGAGACTGCCTTCCTGCGTGCCTGGCCAAGTCCCTGAGCCCTGTCAAACGAGGATCGGGTGGAGTGGGCTAGATGACCCTAAAATCTGTCTCATCTGACTCAGATGATCCTTGTGCTCTAGACACCACTGAAGATGCCACAGAATCTGCCAGAGGCACAAGTGCCCATCCATCCCCCCAGTCTGGCCCCGGGTATAGAAGGGGGGCTCTTGGGAAGGGAGTCCTGCTAAGGGAGAGCTGGGGGGGCCTTCCCCACTGCCAAGAGAAACACGAGACAAGTTTGTTCTTAGCACCTTTTAATGCAGGGGGCCCTTCCTCTCTTCAGGCCCAGGGATACAAGGTAAGGCTGGGGGCTGGGATACAGAAGCAGACCATGATTCTGAAAACCAGGAAAGTAATGAGGGCTCACTCCCTGTTGCTGTGAAGTGCCCACTGATTCCAGGGTCTTCCTCTAGGGTCTCTCCCCGGGGCTTTCTGGTGGCTTCAGGCTGCTGGGCAGAAAGGCTAGACCGGAGGGGTCCTGCTGTCTGCCAGTCTCCTTCTCCCACCGTGTCTCTCTCGCTGTCCCCCCTCCTTGCTCCCAGCCCCCCCCCATTGGAGCTCCCCTTTGGTATTGACTGCTAGGGTCTCCCTGAGGGGGGCTTCTCCCCCTCTGGGCTTAATGCAGCTCCCTCCCAAGCAACTGCCTGTCCACCTGTGCTTCTGTGGGTGTGGGGGCAGCCAACAATCCAGCCCCCACCCCAGGGCTGGCCCCCGGGGCACGCCGGCAAGCACTGGCTGCCAGTGAGTTGTATCTGGGAGGGGGGCATGCTCCTTGGGGCTCTGGCTCTGAAGGGCAGCAGGTGGCGGGGGGGGAGAGTAACAGGCCTGTCTGGGGCACCAAGGATGATGTTTGCTCTTCCCCTGGCCCATTGGGGAGTCATGGGGGAAGGGCATGGGCCTTGACCTCTCAGCCCACACAAACTGAGGCCCCTCCTAGGAGAGGGCCAGCTCACTGCTTCGTGGGGAGTCTTGGTTCCCAAAGTGCCAGCGCTTCTTATTATTACAGTCTTCGAAGTCCTCCATTCATCCCCAGGGCCCATTAAAGAAGCCAGATGCCTGTCGTGCTGCACATACTATGTGCTTCCGTTCATTCGTCTTATTTTTAACGTGCCCGCCTGCCCACCTGCCTCCACTTTGTATTAAGTAAAACCTTGGTCCTCCCTTGGCAAGCCTGCTGGCCCCTGGCCCTGGCTATGGCAGAAAAGGCCTGGAGGCTAGGGGAGAATATGGCTGCCTGGCCTTGGGAGTATGGCCCAGCATTGGGAGGATCATCTCTGGGCCCTTTGTTTTTGGCGATGAAGAGTCCCAGGACTGGCTGGAAGCTTCCCTGGCCGCCTCAGGAGGGGTCAGCCCCACGTTGGGTCCAGTTGGCTGGATTTCTCCCCTTGGCTTCAAAGCCAGTTAACAGGAAGGCCGCATTTGTAACAGGCCAGTGAGTACCCGAGCAAATTCCTTCACCCCCAAGCAAGCCATCTCTGGCAGACCCTTCAGCCTCCTGGAGGGGGCCACCAAACCTCACCACTGGCCTCCAGCTTCTGATGGCTGAGAAGAGAGGCAGGGTCAATCACCTGCCACACCTGTAATCCATTCTCCTCTCTCCATGCCAGCATCCCCTGGATCCCAGCCTCTGCCTAAACCCCCCCCGCCCTGTGCCCTCCGTAGTGAAAGCGAAGCGCTGCCTTGGGAGGGAGCCCCCATTGGTCCAAGTGGCCAGAGGATAAGCTGAGTGCATCTTCTCATAGCCACAGCCAAGAGGTCCAGGCCCTCCTGCTCAGGCCAAGAGCGCTGAGGGTCTGCAAATGAGAGGAGCCCCTCACTGCTGCCACCAGCTCAGACTGGTACTTCTCTAGTGGCCATCCCACAGACAGGTCTTGCTGAAACATGGCATGCCAAAATGGGACTGGAGATGGAACCACTCTTAAGCGGACAAGGCCAGGGGTCTTCGTTCCCCTCACGGGGTTTTGTGAAGGAATATTCGGCATCTAGTGGGGGGAAGGTGCTGGCCAGCACATCAGCTCCAATGAGGGAGAGAGGACGGCTTGACAGACTGGGAACCCAGAAATGTGAGTGCAGATGTTTCCCAGCCAAGGGGAATGTGAATCCCTATCTTGCAGCAGGCTTCCTGGGCAGGCTGTCTGGGTCAGGGCCACGGTGTGGGAGACAGCTTGTCCTCATTAGCATGGCAGTGCCCCGGGCAGCATCGGGGACCTCAGGAGCTGCCCATCAAGCCTTCTCTTGGGGCAAACGCTGACCCACTCTTCAAATGCCCACTTCATTAGGGTTTTAGAGCATAAATAAATAAAATGGAAATAACGCTAACATGTGACAAATGACCATGAACCCTTCTCTCCCAACTGCAATCCCAAAGGGGAAGGTGACTTGGGCATCACCAGCACCTGCAGTGTGGTGCCCTCAAGGGCAGGCCTAGCCTGCTGCTCCTCTACCAATGGAGACATTTGCTGGGAGCGTTGAAGGGAGCGGGCAGAGTACAGCGGGCCGGGTACAAAGGCCACACTCATGCTATGGCGCGCAGAACATGGAGAAGGATCCCGCCAGCAAGGGCTGCCGTCAGCTGTGGGAAGGGGCCATTCTGTGTGCATGCACATGGGTGGTACTTGGTGACGGACCCTGGCTTTTCAGCAAAGCTCTAGGGGAAAGCTACCCTTGGTTAGACTCCTTTAGATAAAGGACAAGTCACTTCTCCCCGCCTCTGAGTTCCTCCGGAGGGTGGCCAGGCAGGTTGAACACCCAGCTAAGCAGAGAGGACTGCAGACAGAGGCAGATCCAGCAGGCTTGGGCCAGAGGAGTCTATGGGCACAGGCGATCTGCCTTGGAAAGCATCTGTAAGCAGGTTCTGGGGCTGAGAGGGGGCGGGGGGTCTCTTTGGGTTCTTAGCAACAGAAGGCACTTCTTGGGGCTGGGGCAGTTAGCACGAGGTGGGCAGATGGAGGGAGGGAGGGCCGGACTGTGGCCACCTCTCTGGGAAGCTCTGGGTGGCTCTGCGCAGACCCTCCCTCACACCCCCCGCCTCTCAACTAGAGCCTCAGGAATCTCGGGGACCCAGCAGGAGGCTCTCCCGGAGACACCTGAGCTGCTCCTCCCCGAGTTTGATCTTCTCCTCCAGCTCGCGCTGCTCCATGATGAGGGCCGACTTCATCTTCACGAAGTGCCGGTAATCTTGGAGCTGCTCCTGAAGCAGGTAGCGGGACACCGTGCTATACACGGCTTTCTCCCGCCGGTCCACGTGCTCCTTCAGCTCCTTGGCATCTTCCAGCTGTCCCGTCAGCTGTCGCTTCTTCTCCATCAGTGCAAGCTGGGGGAAAGGGCAGGGGGCAAGGGGCATCAGGGTAAAAGATTACACTCATGCAAGAAGGAGCTGGGACTTGCTGGGCAACTATCCCCTCTCCCCCCAAAGGTCACGGCCTAGTCTCCAACCACTCGGTTTGTCTTTCTCATTTCAAAATGGTGCCGGAGCAGTGCCGGGCAACTGGAGACAAGAAGACTTAAAAGGGATCATAGTCCAAGGGCTCATGGGAGTACAGATGCTGAGCTGGGACTGACCACTGAGGCCCAGAGAGGGAAAGGGAGTGGTCACTGTCTTCAAATCTTGGAAGGTAAAGGACAAGCCTGGCTCTCATTGGCCTCAGAAGCCCAAACCAGGAGCAACGGGGGAAGGAGGCGGGGCAGAGGAAAGAGTTACATAAGAGCTGGTTGTAGCTCTGTGTATGATGGAACTTCTAGGCCAATCAGGGCAGGCTCCTCACAAGGTAGAGAGTGAGTTTCCTGTCATGCAAAGTGTTCGAGTAGAAGCTGGATGATAACTTGTCAGGGACGCTGGAAATTCCTGTGCCCTCCAGGGTCCCTTCCAATTTGGGGATTCCCTCCTAAGATTAGAAGGCCTCCCCTCTTGGAAGACAGGGCTTAACCTGGCAATCTGTGGGCTGTTCGTGTGGCACCAGCAGCCTCCTGGACCCACCCGGGACTCCAAAGTGACCGTGCCTCCCCAGGCCCGAGGAAGGCCCAGAGTGGCTGTCCGAGCAGCAGCCGGTATCTCTACTCCGCCCCTCTGCTCCCTACCTTCTCCTGAGTGGATTCAGGGTCCAGGCTGTTAAGGGCGTTCTCCACCCTGGCCAGCCTCCCAGAAAGGGACAGCAGCAGATTGACCACCTTGTCTAGGTCACCGATAAACAGCCGAAACTTGTCAAACTCATTGCTTTTGCAGACGGCCTTCAGCACAGCCTCGACCTCCTCCCCCAAGGCAACGTTGGCGCTGATGTCTTCCATCAGCCCCCGCTGGGCCTCCTGCAGCACGGACAGCTTCTTGCTGATGCTGGCGATGAGCTGCAGCTAGCGGAAAGGGGGGATGAAGCAGGGATGAGAGAGGGCAGTGCGGTCAGCACCCAGTGAGGAGCTGCGGACCAGCCTTGGAAAAGTGGGCCTGCCTGGGGATGAGGGCACACCCAGGTGTGTGGGAGGCCACACTGCTGGGGAGGCCAGGAAAAGGCGGCCCAGAGTCGGCAATGAGGGACAGCGTAGGCTCATTTTCTAGGCAGGAGCTGTGCACTCTCCCGAGGTGGAATACCCTGCCTCAGGAGGCAGTGAGGTTTCCTTCACTGAAGGTGTGCAAGCCCAAACTTCTGCCTGTCATCGGGCAGAGGAGCCTAGGCTTGTCATAGGTCCGAAGCTGGAAGGGCCCTCAAAGCTTACCTATTCCAACCTCCTCATTTTACAGAGGAGAAAACTGAGGCCCAGATTAGGGAAAGGACATGTTCAAGGTCACACAGGGACTGAGTGGCAGGGCTGGGATTGGAACACAGGTCCTTCAGACAACGTAGGATGGGATTCTTGATCAGGTACGGCTAGACCTGGGTGGCCTTCGAAGGCTCCGTCAAGCTTTCTATACTCCTGGGGCGGCCACTTCCTAGCTCTGGTACCAGGGCCTTCCAAACCAAAGGCACTTCCTTGTGCTTTGTGGGCCCCTGAGAAGAGCCAGGAAAGCTTTCCTAGCTGCTTCTTGTCACTGGGCCCCAACTTGACTGCTCTGGGGGTTCGGAAGTGTGTCCTTTCATGAAGCTGCTGGCTTCTTGTTGCCTGGCCTAGAAGCACCTGGAAATCCTGGGGGGGAGAGGTGAGGAGAGGGAGGAGAGAGGCTAGTGACCCTAGGCCTGACCCAGGACAAGATGCTAAGCCCTTAGCTTATTTTCATTCCATGTTTGGACAATGAGAGGTAGGTGCCTGAAAGAGGTTTTCCAGAGGCCTCCAGGGCTGGCCCTACCTTCTTGCTAGGGAAGGGAATGCCAAATGGGAGATCTGGTAAGCATGAGCTGGGCCTCCAAATGTAGAAGTGGGCCTGGGAACACCATAGCCAGAAGGACTCTGGCCTTGGAAGTCCAGCCTTCTTAGGGCATTTGCACTGAGGCTGTCCCGTCTTCCTGGACCCCCCACTCTCCCTGATAGTCACATCTCTGGCTCTGGGTTTTGTTATCTCCTCTCCTCTTTCTCCTCCTTTATGAAATTTGCTCCTGCAGAGCTCATGGCCTGAGTAAGCGAGGGGCAGACAGAGATAGCCCATGTCTGCAAGCAGCTCCAGGAAACCCATGAGGAGGCAGAGGGCCAGAGGCGCAGGGGGCCTGAGGTCACAGCTGCTGGCCTGCTCTTTTAGGAGTTGGGTGGGGGTAGGAGTACCTCCTTCTCACACTGCTCAAAGAGGACCAGGGGCCCAGGGGCCCAGGTACAATTTCCGGGAGGTTTGGATAGCAAGAGACGGGAGAGTAGCCTGGCAATGTTGCCATGGCAACACTATTTGCTTATGAAATCGTACGGACAGAGGGCGAAGGGATTCCAGGAATCAGATTAAAAAAACAAGCTGATCATGTTTAGAGGAAAAACGGGAGGGGGGGGTTGTTGTGTTTATGGAGAGAGAACAACCTCCGCCCCCCCCCCAACCCCATACCTGTTCTAAAGGCACCCAATCAGTCTGGCAAATGATCACTTAACTTGACTAATGGCTTTGCCTCCCTGGCCTCCTCACTGCCCATCAATTTGGACTGGTCTTGGGCAGGGGCTGACTGGCAAGGCCAGGTCAGGAGGGAGGGAGGGGGCTCATTAAGGACCAATCCAGGCCCCAGGGGCCCTGGCCATAGAAGCAAAGCACAGGAGGCTGGGCCTAGCAGAAAATGGAAAGTAGGCAAGGGAGGTGGTCACCTAGTGGCACCATATAGAAGGGTGCAATGAGGGTCACTTGTCAATGAGCGATGTGACTCTATGACCCACTGAGGCTAGCTTTGGTGATGAGGGTAGGCAGAACCTTTGGTGGCACTGGAGGGATGCCCAGAGGCCTACGGAGGCTGCCCCCTTCCCAAGCCCTCCCCCTACCTTCTTTTGAGCCAGCTCATGGTCCACTTCAGCCTCTCCCAGGGAGTCTTTGGTCAACTGGGACAGCTCCTTCATCTTGTTCAACAATTCCGCTTTGCCAGCTGAGGTGTTGTAGTAGGCAGAGTAGGAGGTGGGACAGGTGGGGCTGGTGGGGCTGGTGGGGCTGGTGGGGCTGGTAGGGCTGCTGAAGCTGCCAGGCGGTGGCGGGGGGGAGATGGGTTGGAATTCCTGTCTGGGGAAGCACAGAACCAGAGCTGAGCTGAAGGGGGCTGCCTCCCAGGATCCTAGGCAAGGGGCAGCCAGGGGCTACCAACTGACAGAACTCTACAAGGCTCTTCCCACCCCATCCCCCACCACACCATCCACACCATGCTAGATGCATGTTAATAGGAAGTCATTTAGAAGCCAAAGGCTCAGGGAATATAAATCAGAAATGAAGGCAGCCTCCCCTCTGCTCCCCACCCAAGCAAGTGCCAGGAGTCACCCCTGGGCCATCCCCAGCAGGGCAGGATGATCTGGGGTCAACATGAGCCTTGCACCTTCAAGAATCACAGAAGGTTTCCGAGGTGAGGCTTTGTCTACTGTGTCTAGGAGAAAACCCAACAAGCTTCCACCAAGACAAGTCTCCAGCATACCCAGGGATGACCCTGACCTGCCCTTGACCCTGCAGGCAGCAGCCCCTTCTCCCACTCCCACAGCTGCTAGCTTAAGCCAGGCCCTTGGCCCTCCTCACGGGCCTTCCTGCTTCTGCTCTCTCATCTACAATCCAGCACAGCGAGCTTCCAAAAGCACCTGGTTCTGGTCAAGGACGTTCGATGCCTCCCAGTGACCTCGAGGAGAAAATGGTAGCTCCTGAGCCCTCTACAATCTGCTTTTCTAGGCTTCCTGCAAACGACCCCTTTAACCGCTGTCCACACCAGCCAGAAAGATACATTCACTATTCCCCAAAGGTGGCATTCCACTGTCTCCCAACTCTGGGCCTGCCTGGAATGCTTCCCTTTCCCACTTGTAGCTTCCTTCAGCTCACATGCCACCACCTACAAGGAGTCCTCCTTTTCCTCATCCCCTTAGCTACCCTCCTTCTTATCACACACACACACACACACACACACACACACACACACACACACACACAAATCTATCTGCCCCTCATCCTTCCCCACCAGTTGAAAGTAAGTTCTTGGAGGGGCAGTACTATTTTTCATTGTGTCTCTTTGTCCCCAGTATCTGACACATAGTAGGCACTTTAATATATGCTGCTGGGTTGGATTGGGGAGAAACAGAAGACTCACCAGTCACAGCGTTATTTCCATCACCATCCACCCCTCCCCCAAGTCTGCCTGCTTAGAACAAAGGCCCTACCTTTCCTTGGCTACCTCCTGTCTTCTTCTGACCAAATGCCAATCCTGGCGGACGTGTTTTTTCCAAGGCAGATCATCGGTGGGGAAGAGGTCGCCCATGACCTCTGCAACTGTTACCATGTTGGAGGCTGAGCTCAGAATGCCAGCCAGTGACCGATCCCCGTCTGCCACGTCTCTCATTAGCTCCTCTGAGCTGATGTGGGCCGAGGCTGACCTCCGCGTTGAGACCAAGCGGCAGGTCTCAACCTCTGTGACGTCCTGTACAGGCCCAGCTTCTTCTGTGGCTGCAGAACAAAGTGGGGAGTGAGTGCGTGTCCTCCAGCTCTCCCGGCATCCCCCCTCATCAGCGACTCACCAAGGCCGGCAGGGCTGAGCCGTTGCTGCTCTGGGCTCCAATTAACTAGACGGTACTGCTCCTCGGCAGGTGAACGGCCCTGGCTCCAGTTGTCTTTGGCTTTGGGATGATCTTCTACCAGTGCTTCAGATCTTTGGAGGAGAAGAGAGGAAAGGAAAAGGCAAGACCATCAGCTCTCAGGACTGGGGAGCAAATCATCGTCTCCACGGATTAACCAGGAGATTCCCACTTAGACTACCAGCATGTCAGAGCTGGAAGGGATGGAAAGTCAGAAGTGGAAAAGACCTTAAAATGTCAGCGCTGGAAGGGACCGTGGAACACAGAAGGTCAGAACTGGAAGGGATCTTAGAACATGGAACATCAGAACTGGAAGGATCTTAGAACACTAAGTGTCAGAACTGGAAGGATCTTAGAACACTAAGTGTCAGAACTGGAAGGGACTTTAGAACATCGAAATGTTAGAGCTGGAAAGGACTTTGGAATAGGAAATGTCAGAACTAGAAGGGACCTTAAAATATGAAATGTTGGAAGTGGAAAGGACCTTAGAACTTAGACCGAAGAACATCAGACTTGGAAATGACCTCAGAACACAAAACATTAGCACTAGAGGGAACTTTGGAACATCCGGAACTAGAGGGACTTTGGAACAGAAAATGTCAGAACTGGAAGAGACCTTAGAACACGGAACGTCAGAGTTAGGAGAGACTTCAGAACACAGAATTCTGAATCAGAAGGGACCTTAGAACATGGACCAGAGAATGTCAGAGTTGGAAGGGA